AGCCGGGCTGAGGGCGGCGCCGGACTCCCGCGCGCTTGTGGGCGGAGAGGGCCCTGGTTGGTCGTGACCCCTCTGGGAGTGGCTGCTGCGGCTACCGGGGCGAGGAGGACCCTCCCCAGGAGAGAGCTGGGCCTTTGTCTCTGGGAAACACGGAAAGCGCAGGGTTACGGGAACTTCTTGACACAGGGTCCGGAACCTAAGGTCTAGAACGTTTGTTAAATAAGTGAGAATGAATGAATGAATGAATGAATGAATGAATGAATGAATGAATGAATGAATGAATGAATGATGAATGAATGAGGCCATTTTTCATCTCTCCCTGCCAGGCTTTACTCCCTGCTCTCCACACCCAACAGACACACACTATGATAAGGTTTTCTTCCCAGCCCCTTTGTAATGGTCTCCCTGCGTAAATTGGAGGAGCAGGATGAAGTCAGCCCCTATTTCCCTCCACCCTCCTATTTTGCCTTTTCTCCAGTGAGGCCTCTCACCACTGGGCTAAAGTTTAAATGCAACTTTCCTCTTGTTCACCCTGTGAATTCAGGCTTATTCTAATGGCATGATCCAGAACTTTAGAGACTAGTTAATTGCTGAGCATTCTGTGCCCCCAAAACTGTATATTAAAGCTTTATAACTTTTAAGTAAAATCTGTGCCTTATGCACAGGGATTTCTTTTAGCAATGCAAATTATCTCCAACAGAAAATATGCCAGGCCTATGATTTTGGACATTCAGAGGCATGCCTCGAATGAGTTGCTGGGTAGTGTGTCTCCAAGTCTATGAGCAAAGACACCTGGAATCTATTATTCCAGGCACTTAAGTGGAAGTCCAACTGAAGCCTGGGGTTTGGCTGGAAAAAGCTTGCAGACTTGATGAGACAATTCCTTTCAGCCAAAGAAATGATGCTGCTTTGATTAACTGAGCAAAAACTGGATCTACAATCATTACACCAGACTTCTTGCAAAACCAAGCAGTACTATGGCAGAGAAACCTTAGGATCAAACTCAGCTGTACTCAGGACTTTATGCACAGCTCCAGGCTGAAGACATGCTTGAAATTCTCTCACTTGGGAGTTAGATCATTTAGTTATGATTGGCCAGCAAAATGTCAATGTATCATTGAATTGGAACCATTTTTCCCATAGATCTATGTTTTTCCTATTTATTTTTACTCATTAAAAAACCTTGCTGTTTAAATTAACATTGACAAACAATTTTTAATTGATGTTAAAGCATTTGGGATTTTATATCCCTAAGATATCAATTCTTTCTAGGATACCATGCAGACTAGCTGATGTACTGAAAATCTCTAGTTGTGCAGTTCTTTTTAATGAACCAGGATTCAGTTGTTAACTGGACTCAGTTGACAACTTAACTGACTGTAAAAGTAACAACAAAACAAATAATTTGCAGAACTGTTTTATCCATTAGGCTTGGTAAACTCAGTATCTGCCACTTCTAGCTTTTCATGACCATTAGAAAATGTTTGGGACCTGAAACAAAAATTATTGGCTCCAAAATAAGAAAAGAAAATGAAAAAAAAAAAAAAAAACTGGAGAAAAAGCTGTTTAAATATCTAGAAAATGTGGTCACCTGCAGTTCAACTCAACTCAGTTTGCATTCAAATTATGTTTAATCTATGGTATGAGTGCATTTTAATAGGTTCCAATATACCATGGAGTAGTAGACCCTTCAAAAGTGCCTTGCGTCTGTGAGGGGTTTTAAATGGCCCTACTAAATTTGTAATGAAAGGTTTCCAAACCAAGCCACAATGTATGTTTGTTTTCCTTTGGTTAGAAGGGCTTTTTGGTTAACTTTATTGTAAATGGATCAGCATCCAAAACAAAAAATGAAATTCTCTTTTAAAAAGCAATACTTATTTAATCCTAAATTTAATCCTAAATTTCATATTCCTAATTACATGCCAAACATGATTATACTTTGAAAGAATTAACTTGCAAGGGATAACTTGTTCAAATAAAATTCAATAAATGGGGACAGATGAACAGATTCTAACTGAAAATTCAGACTAATCACTCAGAAATAAAGCCCTTTGATTGTATGAAGATGCCTCAGTATTTCATTATTAGCTAATAGCTATGGAGTGAATCAATACTATTCTCCCAAATAGCAGATAAAGCCAAGAAACAGAAATGGAATAATAATTTCATGATTATACAGTAGTAACTTCCTTGGAGTGAAGAGGGAATTTAAATTCCAGAGTTCTGAGTTGCCCTGCTGTTTCTTATCACGGGGAAAGCCATCCCCTGGCCTTTTTGAGCCTCCGAAAGTGGCAAATTCCTGTTTGAAATGAACCATGTCATTTGCAGGATTCTACTGCTTTTCTTGCTTTTCCCAGCAGGAGGTTCAGGGTTAGGTAAATTGTCCCAGTGGGATTGTGCTGGGCACCAGTTCCACACAAAAAAGTAACTTGAAGCTCTCAAAAAGGATATATTGGTATTATGATCACCCAGGTATTCCTGAGCTCTGAAAGTCCTCAGATAAAGTCCCAGATAATATTGATTCACTCGGAAATGTCATCAAAAAGGTTTATGCTCCAAGCTCTGCATGTTAATCATTTGTGTTTTTCTGCAAAGGAAAAATAAAAGACTTCATTTCATATCTGATTAGACCAATAATTCATTTACAGGCTTCTGAATTCATTTGTTGGCTTTGCTGAAGATGGAGCAAAATGATTTTTTATATAACATTAGTAGGATGACAGCAACAGAATTGGTTTCTGTCCAACTATGACAAATTGTTAGGAAGCTGGTGAAAGAGGGTGGGGAGGAATAAAGTCACACTCTGTTGAGGTAACGTTATTTAACATCTCTACTCTTTACTTGATCAGACCTTGACCTGGTCTTAAGTGCCAAAGAATAACACAATAAAAATGTGGTTAAAGTTATCTTATGCAATTATTTAAGACTGATTTTGTCCTTGGCTAGTCAAGGGCAACCACTTCTCTCCTTGCAGAGTGATTTGCCCATACGAGAGTGGCGGTAGACACAAGCTTGTCAAGGACAGAGAAGTGAATGGTTTCGATCCGTAGTCAGAGTTGACCTGCCACTGACACTTTAATCCATACTTCTATACGAGAGAAATGCATGGATAACCCTATTGCCAATTAGGAAGTATAATCAGAAAGACAATATCCTTCCTTGACCCTATCTTTATCCTACCTGCCCTAAGAAATCATGTTTAAGGAAGCTCGTATGCTTAGTCATTCATCAGTTAGCATTTATTGAACATCTACTATGTTTAAGTTCTGTGTTAGGCACTGCTATACATTGATACTTGAGAGAGAAAGTGCCTGCTCCTGTGGGGCGTACAGTCTAGTGGAGAGACAGACATTAAACATGCTATCACAAGATTAAACAGAGGTACAAACTGTGGTAAATATCAAGAAAAAGTACGTGGCGTACACATGACAGGTGAACCCAATTGAGGTAGAAGAGAGAAGGCGCTCTAAGGATGTTAACAGGAAAGCTGTGAACCAAAGGATTGTTACCTTATCTATAATAAAATGAGTTATTTAACTTATATTGGCTATATCCTATTTGGGGCTCATACTAATGAGCAACTAGTGAGTTCTTTACTTTTTTCACTCTACCTTCTCCCTTTTTGAGAAATTCGCTATTTTTTTTCAAATGCATTCAGAAACTGTTGCTTTTCTATCATTTGATTTGATTTTTAAGGACCAAGCCCTACCTGCAGATAGACCCAGAGGGGCTGCAGAGGCACATTCTTATTACAGATGTGCTTTTGGTTTGAGAAAAGCAGGAGGTATGTAGGGTTAGATTGGTGTGGGTATAACAATCTCCCTCTGCTTCCCAGGGAATGCAGACATTTCTCCAAAGTGTAAGCTTCACGAAGATTTAGGGACACTATTACAAAATGCTGCTCTCCGCAAATCCATTCACAGCTGCAATGGTGCTTCTTCGAGTCCAAGGATTTCCACTGCACTGCCTTCCCAATTTTTTTGGTACATAGGTCTTGAGGACATGGCTGTCCTCTGTGAGCCGACTTGGAATTCCAGATGTGGGAGTTAGGCTCTGTAATGAGGCAGACCTAAATATGAATCCCAGCCCTTGCTCAAGTTAACAAGTTTGAGCTTCAGTTCTCAACTACAGAATGGGTTGCATGGAGTTGTGAGGCTGGGAGTAGTGGATGTAGACTCTTTAGTAGGTTTCTGGCATAGAGTGTGCTTTCAACAAATGGAAGCAATTATTCGTAATATCATTTTTGGCTCCCAAATCACTGTATTAGTTTTATGTATTTATATTCTGTCCCCAGAATATTTAAGACCACCAAGTTTATTGAGTTACAGGGATGTAAGTAATTTTATTGATGAATTTTTTAAAACCTATCCTGATCCTTTACAATTGACTTTATTCATCTATATCTTTCTATTGAGCATTGAGACTGAGTCCCTCGTGTTCACAGCAGTAGCCCCAGCCCCTAGCACAGTGACTAGTAGTACTCAATAAATGTTTCCTGAATTAATGAACCTAATACTTTCTCCCATTCTCTTTTAGAGGCCACAAGAAGAAAAATATCCTGTGGGACCATGGCTGTTGGCACTGTTTGTTTTTGTTGTCTGTGGCTCAGGTATGGGTTTTTCACTGACCTTATATCCTATGATCTCCTCTGTCCTTCAGAAACACATGTTTTATTCACAAGGTAAATAGACAAAAAATATATTAGTCTGAGATCCAAGTTAATCTCTGTCTGAGGTCTTAATCTTAATGGGTTTTGATTTAATTTCTATTCCAGCAGACCAAATATGACTAGAGACAGAATTGATATACTCTCAAATTATAATCATAAGATGATTACGCTGAGCAATTAAGTAGGCTATATACAGTTTAGACTTCAGTTAAACCTTTCTGTGGAAACACAGTATAAAAGCATTTAAAACAGAAAGTGGAGCACCTGTCTGACCATGAAAAATGCAAACTCCAGAGAGAGGGAGAGGCCTTATGACTAAGAGGAAGCTCTACAGTGCTTCTGTAGAACTGAGCTTTTGACCTGAACCTCTGTGCATAGTCACCTCACAGTGGAAGGTGACAAGCTCAGAGAGCTTTACTTACACTGACATACAAACACACACATGCAAAGAGGAGGCTTGAGCAAAAGGATCATGCAGTCATTTCTAGCTGAATTCTGCTATTGGGAGTCTTGACATAATTCCTGGTCCCCAAAGGTTGGGTCTCTGAAGTACTGGTGATGGAAGTTACTTCTAACAATAAGGTAAGTTGTCAGAGGTTCCCATCTCCATCACCTCACTTTTGCTGAGGGCAGGGAAGGCCAGGAGTCCACCTCTTCCTGCAAAGACCTAGGAGTCCCATAAGGACATCATTCTGCCCCAATGGCAAGAGACATCCCTGACTAAAGATAGATCAGTGCCTCTGATCTTCAAGAAACTGCTCTTCCAAGGAAACAAAAGCTCTTAGGAGGAAGGAAGGATCCAAAGGACTTGGCATGATTGTTGCTTGAGGCTCAAATATTTTAAAGATGACTTGGCATTCCAAGATGAGAAGATCTTCCACTCAAAGAAACAAAACTGTACCTCATTCCCAAAGCTGTGTCCTTGAAGGGAATCTTTTGCACAATATAGGGATTCCTCATCTTTAACAGAGTTTCCCCATCCTCTGCTAGAATACTTCTGCAGGTAGAGGGCTCAGTTCTTCAAAATCCCTACCCCATTTCTATATAGGTCTAATTCTATTAGAAATGTCTCCCCTCTTTTGAACGACACTGTGCTGTCTTCTCAATAATTCAGCTATAAACTCCTGGAGTCACACAACATGACTCATTCTCTTCTGAACATTTTGAATCTTTGGATATTTCAAAGGTCACTGCCTAGTGGTTCCTTCTGCTAGCTAAACTTCCCAAATTCTCTCAACCCAGCCTCATAAGATGTGATTTCTACCTATACTCCATGACCCTCTTAAAGATTAGCATTTGCAACTGCAGAAGTTGGTCTAGAAGTTGTGTGAATGCTACAGAGGCAGTGGGATTGTCACTTCCCTTGATCTCAATGCTCTGCTTCTACTAATATGACCTGACTTGCAGTTTATTTTGAACAGTCATAGCACATTCTAGACTCACATTGGCCTGCCAGGCCCCACCAAGATCTTGTTTACATAAACTTCCTGCAGACTTCAGAGAGGCAGTTACTTAATCCCATCCAAAGCTGTCCCCTCTCCCCCAAGGACACAGACAATAGTGTGGTGAAGGCCTAGGGTGAGGGGGGGGGCACTGGGGGGTAGAAGGGATCAATGGGGAAAAAAGAGGACATCTGTAATACTTTCAACAATAAAGATAAATTAAAAAAATAAATTTTAAAAAGTTGTTCCCTCTCCCATCACACATTGTTTTATGTTATTCGTGGCCCTTATCAACATTTGAAATTATTTTGTTTGCTTACTTGTTATCCATTTCCCTCCACTAGGATATAAGCTCAAGGAAGGCAGTGTTTCTTTTCCACTAAATTTGTAGATCCTCCTACAGTATTTAGTATATTGTGAGTTCTCAATGTGGTTGGGTGGATGGATGGATGGATGGATGGATGGATGGATGGATGGATGGATGGATGGATGGATGAAGAAAGCCAGCTATTCTGCATACTGTAGATATCCAATTGACTTTTTTGAGACCTAACATAAATCTTCATGAATATTCCTATTAAAATGTTACTGTTGGTTTTAGTTGACTTTCTACAGAGCAACTATAAAGTCTGGAAACACAAAAGAACATGCATAATAAATGGCTTACTGATATTACAGTATAATGTACAATACGGTCAGGGACATTACGTGATATATTCAGTCTGTCATCCTCATTAGCAATGCATAGTTCAGAGCACTGTACAAACTGCAGTGACGTTGGTGCACTGACGCAGCATTTTCATCAGGGCCTACGTATTTGTCTGCGATGCAGTGCCTCAGATGATCTGTCTCTGATTTTCACCCCAAATCAAACAAAACAGCCTGCACCTTAGCATGCCACAGACAAATGAAAAATCAACGCATATAAAAAGTTGTCTACTTTTTCAGGTTTTATGGCCAGCCTGTAGATTGTTAGATCTTGAACCTTGAGCCTTTTATCTAATTATCTTTCTTTCCCAGCTTTATAGTCTCTACAAGCCACTGATAAAAGTCTAGACTTGGAGAAGCCCATGGAACACAATTAGAGACAACTCCCTTCAGGTTGACTTTGAACCTCTCAGCCAAACTCATGCAAACAATCATCATGTCTTGAGGGTCCCCCGTGTGCCTGGCACTGTGCTGGGTTTTGAAACTCCAACCTCCTTCAGAACTTACAGGCAGTGGAGGAGGCAGATAAGGAAACTGCCCGTTGTAACCCCGGGAAAGAGTGCTGTGATAGCAGAGTGCCCAGAGTGCTTGGTGAGCACAGATAAGGGATTGTCTTAGTCGGCTCAGGCTGCTGTAACAAAATACCACAGCCTGGATGGCTTATAAATAGCAGAAATGTACTGCTCACAGTTCTGGAGGTCGGAAGTCAGATTTGGGTGCTGGCGTAGTCAGATGAGAGCCCTCTTTCTGGTCACAGATTTCTCCTTGTGTCTTCATAGGGTATCCTTATGTAGCAGAAGGAGGTAAGGAACTCTCTGGGGCCTCTTTTTTAAAAGCACTAATCCCATTCATGAGGCCTCCACCCTCATGACCTAATCACCTCCCAAAGGCCTCACCTTCTTCCACCATCACATTGGGGATTACAATGTGTGTATTTGGGAAAACACAATCTATCAGACTCTAGCAGGAACTTCTAAATCATGCTGGGCAGAAGAGAAAGCTTCCCAGGGGAGGTGCAGTTTGAGCTAAGTTTGGAAGGACAAACAGCCAGACAAAGGTAGGTTATTCCACATGAAGGAACACTATATGACAAAGGCACAGAAGCTCAAGATAGTGCACTGGGCTCAGGAATAGCCAAAGCCCAGCCGTGGGGGTCTGTGAGCCCAGGCATCCTACAGCCCTCCCCAGTCTGTGCCCTTAGTGGGGAGGGGAGGGGAGCCAATAGAATTATTTGGTCTAGCTTGTTTTCTCAAACTTGTGCTAGTTCTCAATAGTCATCCTTTTCAAAGGGTTTAAAAAAAATTCTCTAAATTACATTTTAATTAAAATTTTGCCAGGCTTATTGTTCATATACTAGGAACTGTATCCACAATCTTTTGGAGCCCTCCCAGTCTCCAGGAGTGTTTTGGGGATCATGCACGCTGGCTCTGTTATCCCATCTGCAGGATTGTCCAGAGGCTTGGATGGGAGACTGCAGGCCTGGAGACTTGGACATAAAGTGACTAAGAAAACACAATCCTCATTGGCATGCCGGATCCCCCTGTCTTGTGCCCAGTGTTCTTTTAGCATTGCTTCTTTCAGCTTCCCAGTTGAGACCATTTTGCTTTTATGGAGAGCAATAAAAAAAAAGAAAGTCGGGTCGTCTTACTTTCTCCGTCCTGTTTACATGCTACCAGGATCCCTAAGTAATGGCCTCATCTCTTTTTAAATCGTAACTAAGAATAATCCACTACCACCACCCATTTTGTTTTGTTTTGTTTTGTTATTACTGTTTTTGCCAACTTTAGCATTTTCTCTGCAAGCCTCAGCTCAGGTTGGGCACTGTTCTCACAGAAATGTGGCACTCTCCTCAATTTGTCCTCGGTACTGTGAGCTTCCTTCTATCTTTGTACATGTCCTTTCCTAAACCAAACATGTCATGAAAAACGCAATAGCGCCTACAGATGTGTCCCCATTGCCACCTGCCTAAAATCAGTCACAGTTCAGTTTGTTTTGCAGAGCCCGCTATCCCTTTTGAGTTTCTCCCTTTTTAGGGTCACAGATCATAGGCTCCCACCTATCTTTTGTCTACATTTAAAAGAATGTGATTTTCTTAAGCTTAGCCATTCTGTCAATCAGTTTCTCTGCTTTACATAATAAACCTTCTTGGTGCCAGGATGGTTGAAGCCCCTTATTACTGTTCTTTCTCGCCCTTCTCCCTGTTCTGTGATCCAAAGTCGGAGAGACCACCTGCACCTCCCATCTGACGGTCCATCTGTCTGTACACACCCTCACTCCTGCCCTTGCCTGTGACACTCACAAAATGCACTGCAGTTTCTGGTAGGATCTCCGCACCTCTACAGACACTTTATGTCCCTCAGGTCTCTTTCCTTTGAACAAGACATGCCAGACTAAAGCTTCATTTCACCCAGTCCCAGTTATACCTCTGAGGTCATTTGCCCTCTCTGAGTCCATGTCTTCAGTTCTTCCTGTTTTGTATATTTTTGTACAGACAGGAAAAATATGAGACCTTCTCATATTAATGAAGATACTGACCACTGATCTGATTCTTTTGACAGACTCACTTGCTTTCATTACCTTATTCATTAGCCCACACTTCTAAGTGAGGGTGGGTTGGGCAAAGTGTACTTTTTAGAAGTAGAGTCAATAGGGTAAATAAATAATCAGGTCAGGCAAGGAAAAAGGAATGCACATCTTATCTGTTTTCCTAGCTATGTTCTGGGCAAGAATTAAGGCTAGTAAAATGTTGGCATTTAAGTAAATGCTCATTTATTGGTCACCCTTACTCTATGTGGAAAATCAAGTTAACAAACCTCCAAGAGGTTACAGCATTCCTTTATTACCAGGAGATGTGTCTCAGCAAACTCTGACCCTTTGCTCCTCGTCTCTTTCAGATGACCGTCTCCTTTCTCTTTTCATGCCTTTCATGCCTAAGGTGCTGATAAGAACAAGGTAATGAAAGGAAAGAAAGAGAAACCTGGAGAACAGCGAGGGTACAGGAGCAGGGCACCCAGAGACCCCTGACCCAAACACACACCCGGGGAATAGCCACCACCTCACCAAGAAACTAGATAAGAGCCCTGGAGCTGTGCTGAGGCCTCCAGGATCTGAGTCCAAGTGCACGGTTGTAATCTTAATATTACCCTGTTAAGAGGCAGTTGAAGGAGGTTTATCTAAATACACCCCTCTCCAAAAGTAAGTAAATTTCCACGATCCACGATTGCAAAAGGTCTCTTAGGCAAGATGTTTCTTTGAAACCTGACCAACTGGTGCCTCAGAGGGGAGGACAGTTTTGGAATCTGCCAGATGTAGGTTCAAAGCTTGGTTTGCTCTTTATCAGCTGAATAACCTTGGACAAGTTATTTACTCTCTCTGTATTGATTTCAGTTTCAACCAAATGGGGATATAGGAGCCCCTCCACAGGCGGTCCTGGCACTGAATGGTTCCAGGGATGTAAGTGCTGGCCCAACAAGCTTGACACCTGCAGCTTCAGTCACCACCACCTCTGCCCCTATAGCCCTCATGGAAACCAGGGACACCAGGGCTGGGACTGCTGTGCCATGGGCTGCTCAGGCTTCCATTCACCTTGCATCTTTCCAGGCTGAGCCTGTAACTGGCAGGCTCAGCCATCACATTTGTCTGGATCTTTCAGAAAGCGGTCGGCCCTGCCCTTTCACTCAAAGGATGAGTGTGAGCAATTTCAGTGCTAACACTCCTGGTACATGAGACTGTTTTCCCAGGATACAGCATCAAAATCTGCTAGACCTCCCCACGCAAGGAAAAGGAGGCACCCACGTGCAGACTCAAATCAATGAATGGGGGCTTGTGCTTCACTTTGGGTATCAGAAGTGAAATTAAGTTTCATTTCCTTAAGGCAGCCCACATACACCACCGTTTTGCTATAAAAGTTTTGTGAGATAGAAAAGCTTTGGGAACCATGTGTTCTTTTGAGACACAATATTATCCAAATAGGTCACCTCAGGGCCATCTCCTGCTTTGTTCTGCTCAGCTTGGTAACCAGCTTTATCGTTATTGATATTATATACATTCTTCCAGCAATCTAAGACCTGTTATGGGCCCCCTCAGGTGATTATTCCAAATAGGCCAGGAAATTTTCTTATTCAAGCCTTGTCCTGGGACTTTGTGTTGCTGGAACCTTTTTAACTGCTTGCATTTATCTTTATTTGGTCTCCTAGGACCCCAGATCCACATTGAAGCCCAAAGGATCTAAACACCCTCCTTTTATAAGAACATTATCTTCCATTTCTGCAGACAAGGGGGCCTTTCTCCAGATAAGCAGCGCATCCCAGCTCTCTCAGTCCCCGGTTTCAAAACCTGCCTTTTTGGAGAACTGTTTAATAGCTTCTGAAGAGTTCTTGCTTTATCTCGAGACTCAAAGACAAGCAAGCATGACCCGAAATGTCTGTCTGAGACAGCGAAGATGCTGTCACACAGATCTGCCGACTGCTATCTTCACAAGACACTTGCAGGCTTGACGCCACCTCCCAGGACCATTGATGAAGGCAGTCCCCACTGTTTGTGCTCAGAGCCCTTGCCCCTGGGTTCTTCTCCCCTTTATCTTCAACTCTTTTAAAAGCCTATTGAGAACGATTCTGAGGCCACACCAAAGCTCTGTGGGAAAGTGTGCTGCAGTTGATTGCCAATGTCTGTCATGAACAGGGAATTAACAGCAGGGTCCCATGCTCATCTTCACTGTCCTGGTCTAACCTTTTTATAAGGTAAGTGCCACAGTGTTCACAGGACAACAGTCTTCAGCATTTTCAGCTTTCCTCCTTGACTAGAATGCCTCCTGGACTCAACAGAATTAAGTCTTTTCCTTAGCGTGTTAGTTGTTCAGACAGTTTGCTCCTTTGCTGGCGTGATACTGCGCGGTGGCAGGAAGCCGCAATCTTAGACAGCAGTCTTTGCAACATGGTTGTCCCCCTCTCCTTTCTAACCCCTCCCTGAGGTCTCACCTGGGCTTAATGGAGTTACCATTAAATTCTCATCATCTTTTGATTCGGACGGGAATGCTTACATAGCAGCCAAGCCCCAGTTCCCTCCCTCGGCCTGTTTCTCCCTCGTGTATTCCTAATTTCAATTTTCTCTCTCTCTAGCCAGTCTTGATATTCATTTCCTAATTAGTGATCATGAGAATGTCCGTGGTTACTGAAGCCTGGGTACTCTTGAAACCGAGGCACTTATATCCCCCATCAGAGGGAAACCCCTAGGGTAACAGGATTAACTAGTGACTGTTATTTTATTCATAATTTTCTATATTTTTCCCATTTTGTCAATGAGCATATATTACTTGCATATCCCCCCAAAAATTAAGTGGGATTTAAGAACAAAACATCTAGACTAGTGGTTTGTAGCAGTGTTTTCCTTTGTTTTTGTTTTTAAAATTTATTGGGGTGACAATCGTCAATATGAACATATAGGTTTCAGGTATGATTCCTTTGTTTTTAAAGCAGCGAAGCTCTTTGTTCAGATCTTAGAGGGAAAGAAATGAAAGATCAACTGTTCTGGTTGAAATGAGATCTGTGTGTATGTGTACGTGCACATGTTTGTGTAAGTGTTTGTGTATGTGTGTTGCGTGTGTGTGTGCATGTGTGTGTGTATGGGGTGCTTCCTGTGTTGCTGGATATTCTGATTTTTTCATCCCCAGAAGGGGATATCCAGTGGGACCCTCTTTGCCCATCAAATAGGAATTTATGTCTGGCTGGGAGCTGGCCTCTGCTATTACAGAGTTAATACCTTTCAGCTCAGAGTCTACTAGGTTTATTTGGCACCATCAGTTGTGAGTAGCTGCACTGTTTCTGAGCAGGGACATTCCTTTTGTCTGTCAGTTCACAGACTGTACTCTTCTCCTGTATCCTCCTGGGACTCTGCCCATGAGGCAGGGATGGGGAGAGAGATAATGTCACAAACAGGTCTGTTTTTCAGGACAACCTATTCAGAAGATATATGAAGAAGTGATTCCCTGAGATGTTCTTGGATGGACCTGAACTTCTCCCATTCTCTCAGCCTCCTGTTTCAGGTCATCCAGACTGTCTCCCTGTATATATATGCTAAGGGCCTGTCCATTTCTGGAAGGACTACCCCCACCCTTCCTAGCATTGGGTGTTTTTGTTAAGGATGTCATAGAGGAGGCAAAGGACCAAATAACCTGTGCCAGCTCCAGGGCCAGCCTCCCTGGGTTCAAAACCCAGCTTTACCACCTACTAGCTGTGTGGCCTTGTCCAAGTTACTCATGCCTACTCTAAGCCTCAGTTCTCCCATTCTTAAAAGGGTTAGTACTGGTTCCTGACTTCTAGGATCCTCATGAAAACTAAGCCTGAGGGTTAATTCATGTCCAGTGTTTAGTGGAATCATAGTAATAGTTTTTTTAAATGTTTGTTGTTATTATCATTATGTTGATGGTCCTTAGTCACACTGTCTCCCCAGCTCTTGACCTTCTTGGCAAGGTTCTAACCAAGATTCTGAATGCTTACAAGGAAAGAAAGATACCATTTTGACCTTTCTGATGTGACTTTGCTTTATGATGATAACACCCATAGTGGCAGAGCATAGCTCTAGGATACTGAGGAAGCTGCATGAGCTCCAGCTCCCACCTGGCCAGGTAGAGGGCAGGGTTTGTCTCCTAGAGGTCAGTGGTGTCACCTCTGCAGAAGCAGCTAGAGCCTCTTCTCTATTTCTAGACAGAACTCATTATAAACTAGACCATGGGGGTGAGCAGGATCTGTTCACACAGCTGTTTTAGCTGCCATTTCCTGAGTACTTATTATAATGCCAGGCTCTACACATACATTTTCTCTTCTAGTCACACAATCCCTGCAAAGAAGCTATGGTACTCATTTTTTCAGATCACAGAACTGAGGCTTACAGAGGAAATCAGCCAGCATCCCATGCTAAAAAGTGAGAGAACTAGTATCCAACCTCAACTCCAAACCCAACTGCTTTCTATTACCCTGCATTCCTTCTCTCTCACCATGTTCCCAAAAGTACTGTGGAGCAGGAGGTTTCCACCAACTTTAGGCCTTTAGTTCATGACTGTGTCTTGAAAAGCACTCCTGTTGAGACATCTCCTACTTTCCCTGCCAGAAAAGGTGCACTGTCCAGAGATTCCAGATGTGCAGCCATCCTGGGTCTGCTCCCAGATGGATAACACCTTTACCAAGTCATGGCTGCTTTTGGATTGGGCCACCGGGTGCCCATCACCTTACCTTTTTCTGGACACGTGCTCCAGGACAGATTTGAATTCACCATGTTTGCAGGTCGACCACATAAACATTGGCCTTTCCTGAAGACCACTAGAACATTCCTGAACTTGTGACACCCAGAGGGAGTCACTCCCCCAGCACTGACAAGTGCGAAGTTTGAGGCACAGAGCAGCCCAGAGAAGCTCTTCTATTTCACCGCAGAGAAAAGATGGAAAACAGGCATCTACTCTGGAGCTCCTGCCTTGAGATCTGAGATGGACAATCTGGAAAAGATCTCATCAGCCATTGGCTCCAGCAAGGTGACTTGTGGCCTCCTTTGTCATGTTCCACTCTCTGCCCTGTGCCCATGGAGCAGTTGGGTTTGTGTGTAGTCTCTTTCTCAGAAGAGTGTTTCTGTCTGCCATTTCACTGCAGAGACAGGGTATCACCTTTGCTAATAATATCCCTTCTTTTAACAGTGTCTTCCTGCCTTCACTTATCCCTGGCATCTCTCTCTCTTCCCTCTTCTCCACCTCTGGAGAAGTCACCAGGAACTTCTACCAGAAAATGGTACCTTGCTTTTGACTTTCTTTGTGCTGGTTCTTTCAGAGAGCTTAATGACCCACCTTTGCAATGTCTTGTCTCATAACATTTCTACTTGTCTCTCACAAGGTTCATACTTTTCTTACCAGCAATTTTTAATTTTTTTTTATGAAAAAATGATCAAATTGTGTGATTTCTAGAGTTGTCTTATGCTCCTAAAGTATATTCCTCTGGCCTGTCTTAATCTACTTGTCAGGAATTTCCTTGATCTCTCCCATCAAGTATTTATTTTCAGAAAAAGTAGCTTTATGAGGCCTCCTATTGTCCAGCTTTCTGACAATTTCCTAGAAGATCCACTTCTACCAGCCCCATGTCCTTTTGCCACCCCTAATTAGCTGGAGTAAGTTAGTCCCCAGGGTAAGTGTGAGTTAGGATGGCACAGTCCCAGGCCTTAAGAAGTTGTTGGTCTGTCATGACTTAGCTTCTCCTCCAATGACTGAGCTCTTGGAACGTTTGAATGTAAAGGCATCCATTTGATGCTGACTCTTGGTTTGCAAAGTAACCATCTGAGGTATTATTTATTTATTTATTTATTTATTTAATCCTCACCTTTGGATACTTTCTCCATTGCTTTTACAGAGAGAGTGGAAGGGAGAGAGAAAGAGAGAAACATCGATGTGAGAGAGACACATCGATTGGTTGCCTCCCACACACATCCCAACCTCGCCAGGGCTGGGGATCAAGCCCACAACTGAGATACATGCCCTTGGCTCGAATTGAACTGGGGACCCTTCAGTCCCCTGGCCAATGCTCTAACCACTGAGAAAAACCATCCAGGGCTCAGGTTTTTAATATGTATTTTCCTCTATGCCCTTTGTGATTATTCACCTTTCATTCCATCAATAAATATTTACTGAGAAGCTACTCTATGCCCAATGCTAAGCTAGGCCCGGGGTAGAGTCATGACCAAAATCATCCAAGGCCCCTGTTCTCGTATAGCTTACAGTCTAGTGGTGAAGCAAGATGAGTTAATCATGTAGTTACTCTAAAACATATAAAATTTCAGCCATGAAAGTGTGTGAAGGAGAGGCATGTAGCACTATGAAAGCATATAATAAAAAAGGCTGGTATACTCTGGGTAAGTGGTCCTCAAAGCGTGGTCCTCAGACCAGCAGCCTTAGCCTCATCTGGGAACTAGTTAGATAAACACATTTTCACTTCCCATCCTAGACCCATTGGATTAGAAACTTTGGGGGTGGGGTCCAACATCTGTGTTTTCATATGTTCTCAAGAGATTGGAATACACACTCAAGTTTGAAAACTCTTGCTCCAACCCGGCCAACATGACTCAGTGGTTGAGCATTGACCTATAATCCAGGAGATGGTGGTTCAGTTCCCAGTCAGGGCACACACCCGGGTTGTGGGCTCAATCCCCAGTTGGGGGCATGCAGGAGGCAGCTGATCAATGACTCTCATCATTGTTGGTTCTCTCTCTCTCTCTCTCTCTCCCTCTCTCCCCCCTTTCCCTTCCTCTCTCTGAAATCAATAAAGACATGTTTTTAAAAATAAAATAAATAAAAAATAAATTTAAAAAACTCTTGCTCCAGATGGTCAAATGAGACTTCTCTGAAGATATAACTTTTGAATTATGAAGGAACACTAGGCAATAGGGTGGGGCAGGGAAAGTATTTCACATAGAAAGAATGGCATCTGTAAAAGCCCTGTAGTAAGAGCAGAGAGCTTTTGAAAACATGAGGGATTACCCAAGAGAGGAGAAGAGTGATAAAAGATGAGTCCGGACAGGTTGACAGGAGCCAGGATACACAGGTCATGGAGACCTCATCAAGGATTGGGCAATAGGAAGCTTTTGATGTGCTTTAAACACAGGGATGACACAATCTTGTTTGTTTTTATTTAAAGAATAAATCTGTAGTGTGGAGAAAGGATTGAAGAGTTGCAGGAGGAGACCAGTTTTGGAGGTCATCACAGGCACCTGGAGAAAGATGCTGGTCACTTGGACAAAGGTGGTTTCTGGAGGGATGGAGAGAAGGGTGCATAATCACAAGATTCTTAGGTAAAGTCCACAGGTCTTGGTTATCAATTGGAGGTGTTAAGGATAACCCTGGAATTTTGTTTTACATGCAAGATGGAAGATAATGATGCCAAGTTTGACAGTGGGAAGAGATCATGAGAAGGTCCTGTTGAGTCTGATGTGCCTTTGAGCTATCTAAGTATAGATATCAATTAGATGGTAGAAGGTGTGGCTCTAGAGCTTGGAGGAGGCATCAGGGCTAGCAATACACATGGGTGAGTGAGTCATCGAAAGCTAAGTGACAACTGAAATGGTGGGCCAGGATGAGATCATTCAGGGAGAAAGAATGTAATGAAGAGAAGAAAGCCAGAATGCTCATTGAGGAACCTCACCATTCCTGTTTACTGGTCAGGTGGAGTCAGGATGACCCCCATAAAACAAATTTAGTACATAGAGTCAAAGAGAAGGAGGAAACTAGTAACTAGGAGAGGACAGTATCATATTGGCCAGAGGAAGAAAGAGTTTCAAAGAGGGAGTGCTCCACAGTGGTGACCAGGGAAGAGATGTGGAGTCAGAAGTGTCCTAGCTTGTGATTTTTGAGTGTGAGTGGTTGTTGCATGCTAAAGCCTTAGGGTTTTATTGAAAGGAGATGGTGGAATAAAAGAAAGATGTGCCCATCACAGTTACCGAGGACCAGGAACCTAAACACAGGTGGGAGAGTGAAGAGGCTCAGGATTCTGTAGATTCTGCTCTAGCCTGAATTTTTCTGAACCTCTGTGACCAGCCCAAGGCCAGATCCTCTGACCTGGAATGCCTGTTGTCCCTCCCTTTCTTGGCATCTCTGCTCCCCGCTGTCTTGCGTGCCCACAGCCCTTTTCCTGCAGCCAGCTCAGCTGTTTTCTCAGCTTTGTTCATCCACTGATAAGTTATTAACTTGTCAGGGTCTAGACTCCCCACTTCCTTTCCCACTTTGAAAGCACTGCTGGCTCCCTTCCTGTTCACTGCCTTGGAAAGTCAGCACTTGGAAGGCTAGGGTTACTCTGTGGGTCATTATTGGCAGGCACACAGAATTACAATTAATATAATTGGTATAGGATGGTAAAGGCTTCTTAAACACATTGATACAACTGAAAAGGGGATAGTGACCACAACCATCTCTCTATTACCTTAGGTGTGGAGGCAAATGGTGAACTTAAAATAGACTATTTGAAATAATTTCTGCAAGAGGGTTCAATTTTAAAGGGTCACAATTAAACATGTTAAGGACCATCAAGTTTTTACATGGACTCAGTTAAGAGTAATCTTTAGTTTTTAAAGCAGACTCAGAAATAGGTGGGTTGTTTTTATATGTTGCTACTACTCTAAAACAAGCAAATTCTGTCTAAGATTCTTTAGAGAAATCTGCAGCAATCCTTAAAAAGAATTGAGTGGTTTTCTCACTGCCTAGCATGTCTGAATTCATGAATTAACCTAATGGGGCCTGATGGACTAAAGGTATAGACTGTCCTATTTGTTGATCTACATCCTGCTGAAATGATCTCTTGTCTAAAGATAAAATTAAGGGAGAAAGGACATTTTTGAGTATCTATTATGAGCAGATCTTTTAGTCATTCTATTGATTCTTTGCAATCCTTTGAGGTACATACTATCTACACTTTTTACAAATACAGAAATCAGGGCTCAGACTATTTAGTAATTTTTCAAAGTTCACACCTCTGGAGAGTGACAGGTAGTTCTGGAGCTCTGTTCTTCATGCTCATACATGGAGAAGCAGCAGTCATTTTTGTAGTAATAGTAATAGTGGTAATAATAGCAATACCTCCCAGACATCAAATCCTGCATGTTTGAGGAGCCTTCATAAATGTCAGATCATTTAATCCTATAACAACCCTGCAAGTACCATGGTCCTCATTTTACAGAAGATGAAACAGGCTTGAGGAGGTTAAGTTATCTGTCTGGTAACACAGCTATGCAGTGAAGAACTGGAATTCACACCCAGTTCCATCTGACCCTGACTTTTCACTCTGAAGTAGCTTTGTCAAGATTAGGGATGTTTTCCTGATTTCCAAAACAAAGCCTGAGGCATGGTAAATGAAAATATTTCTCCCTAATGTTGACTATACAGCTGCCTCCCAGCACTCCTCTTGAGACGAAATACAGAATGTTTATTTAATTTTTATTCCTTGTCAACCTTGAGAGGAGAGGACAGACACATCAACTATTTCTTCGAGCTTATAAATTTTGCTAAGGTACTTTCTCATGCATCTAGCAACTTCTTCTGTCCAGACCCACCCCAAAACCCAGACTAGGCCAAGAAAACCTCCAGTGCAACCAGAATTAAATATCACAGTTGATGAATTAACTCATTTACTGTATCTAGAGAAGAGTCCCTCCCATGACCACGCAGACTGATTTGCTCTAATTCTACACATAATTCTAACAGTCTTTGTTTTCAGCTTAGTCCCTAACAACGTAGTAGAAGAAAGCCCACTGCAGATTAGTGTAGTAACACCAGAGATATTAATAATTGAGACAAAAACCAGCATGAAGCAGAATCAAGAACCAGAACACAGCTGTTCAGAGCTATTCTGTACACTCTCCATAACAATGCTACAGCAGTCTGATTAATTACTATTTCACATTATGGCCACACTGAACATTCATGAAAAGTTAACTTTAACTCATGTTCAGTTTATAGCATATATCCAATTAGGAAAGTAGTGATGATGTGTGCAGGGTTCTTTTTTTTTTTTTTTTTTTTAAAAAAGAACGCTCTATCCTTCAAACCTAGCTGTCCAACAAAGCTTGTCCAGGACCCTCTGCATTGTTCACCTGTGGACCCCAGAGCACAGTGCCTGGCAGATGGCATGTGCTTACTAACGGATGGGTCATGAAATGCCAAATGCCTTTTTCCTGAGGGTTCTGGATGACCCGTGACACTATGGTCACTTAGGCGGCTGCATTCCTGGGTGTGCTCCTAGATGACTTTAGGAAGGACAAAAGGGGCAAGACCCCAGAGAGCTCAGTGTTCACTGTTTTTACACATTAAATGAGATGTTACCCAGCCTCTGCTCAAAAATAAAAATCATCACTGCATGGTAGTTGCTACTATCATTGTTTTCATCAGGATTGACCAACAGTGCCCACTGAGGAGGTTTAAGAAAGCAGTTGGGTCCTTCTTTTCCTGGGACACATTTAAACCCCATAGCTAGAACTGGTGTGGGAGCTATGTAACCAGCTCTTGCCAAAATAATTGCAGGTCCCAGGAATTCCCTGTGAGGTTTACAGGCTACCCACCCCTCAGTGTCTCATAAGGAGGCCCATGTAGTGAAGACTGAGCTCTGAATAAGTCAGCGTTGCTCTCGATGAGAGACAGCCACATTTCAGAAAGTCCAGGCAGCCAGAAGTTTCGCTTGCATCAAGGGCTATGGCAGCCAGGGGCTCAGCTTCCTGCATCTGCTCTAAGCACCCACCTTTCTGCCCAGCCCAGGGCTGCTTGCTTTCCAGGTCACGGCCATTTGAAAAAGAAAGTCTCACATTCCTGTTAAGTGAGTACAGCACCTGCAGGAAAGGAAACCCTGTCCCCTGCAGAAGCTGACAACTTCTAGGGAAGGGAACCAAATCTCTCAGCCCCTGAGGGACTTCTGCCCTTTACTCCTGGTGGAATTAGCAGGAGTTATCTATAAATCCCTGAGGCATCCATCAGCAGACACTGCAAGGCTGTCTTTTTAGAGAAGTTCACTGACCTTTTGTTAACTTAACTCCTTGTTAGGAAATATCTAATCAGCTGTGTGCTAACGTGTCAAGGGCCCAGGGTCATGGGAGCAGGCTGGCTGTGGGGTTGGGTTTCCAGCTGTGTGCTGCCTGGTGTCTGAGCTGTTCTGTTTTCCTCTTTCAGCTATCTTTCAGATCATTCAGAGCATAAGGATGGGCATGTGAGAAGGCCCGGGATTTGACACTGCCCCTCCCGCTGGAGGGTGGAGGACCTCTTAAGCTCTTAGCCCGGTATCTGTGGGAAGCAAACAGGCCGCACAGAATAGGAAAAAATGGCTCCCACAGTTGCTCCCTGATCACTTCATCGTGGATGTCAGACCAAATTGCCTTCTCACAGGACATCTTGGTACATCCGTGTTCTGAAGTGGAAAAGACATTTTGCTTTTCTGGTGGCAGGATCAGTAGCTCCCGGGCGTCTGCAGCAGCGCTCTCTGGTTTTTCTTTTGGTTTCAGGAATGTATGCATGTAGCCCTCTGAATGATCACTGGTTTACTTTCTATGGATACAATCTCTCCTCCATTGGGAACCGGTTTTACAAATAAATGTCTTTGTTCAACCTTATGTCCTGTGTGGGTTACAGTGAGAAAACAAGTAAAGAAGATGTGAGAATAGCTCCAGGAGGGTTAGAGGCAGGAGGTGGGGAACTTGAATATGCGATTGGGAAAGAGTCAGGGAATTTGTGACCCCAAACCAGAGCTAGATTTACCCAGCAGATTGCTGGGCAAACTTGAAGGTCTTTGCCTGAAAGGAAGCCCTCAGTGGTTCTAATTACCTTGGGTTTTCCACACATTTGACAATTCTCTCTTTCTCTCCCTCTCTGTCTCTCTCATCATTTGGGTTTTTGTTATTATTCTTTTTTCCACTCTAGAAAAAGCACTTGCAATGTGTGTTAAGGTCCCAATTAGCCGCCCTCGCTGTGTTCTGCCTCCGAGTTTGGTGGGAAGCAGATGTCTGAGGCCCCTTTGTGAAAACTGTCCAACCTCGGGCCCAGCCCTGCCCTCACACAGAGCTCGGGGCAGGCAGGAGTGTGCTGAGCTCTGGGCGGTCAGCTGGCAGGATGGGGGGGTGAGGCCCCGGGCTGGTGGGTGAGACCACCTCTCCCTGGCCAGTCTTCCCCACCGTGTCTCCAAGTGTGGTTGCCTGCACCGGCATCTCGGCGTGTTGGGAGTGGGAGAGATGCATCTCAAACTGCAGATTCTGGGGTCCCACCTCAAGCTGGCTAAATCCAAATTACTGCAGGTGCGGCTAAGAATCCATGTTTGGTACAAGCCTGGGTGAGGCTTCTGCACTCTAACTTTTGAGGACCACAATCGGAATGAGGTTTTGTCCCATCCCCAAGCAGTGAAGGCAACCAAAGCTTGCTCTTAAGCAAAGTCTATCCTGGCAGGGACGGGAGCAGGATTTGGCATGCCTTTTCAATGAGACTTCTGATGTCACCTAAGGAAGTCAGGGACAGCTGCACAGATCTCTGACAGGATTAAAAATGTGCACCATGCAAATTTAAATAGGACTTTGTTGTTGTTTTTAATTCCATCTTTGCATTCTTGGCTATTTTTTTTTATCCCAAAGTACTGTGAGAGCTTTAAAAATGAAAGTGGTAGAAGTGGCCAGGCCCTTTCTCACCAACTTTAGAGGCTTTGCTATAAGGGGCACACTTCACAATAGAGGGTGAGGTTTTTTCATCTACTAGAGCCTTTTACCCCACACCCTTCAGTGATATTCTCTAAGGCTTTCTTCTCTCCCATCTTCCTGCCTTTTTCTTTCTCACTCAGAAGAGAGGGTAGCAGGGCTGGTCCAAAATTAGCCACCCCAGGGACACTACCACCACCACTACTGTGCCCCCACTCCTCCC